TAGTAAATTTTGAAATTTTAGAAAAACACTCTAGAAAATCGAAATTCTCGATTTTAAATACTTCTAAAAAATTTAAAACACATTTTAAAACAATTTTTGATAATTTTTAAAAGAAAATGACTATTAATTCTATACTTGTAAATATCATAGATAATAAGAGCTAAGGCTTGGCGAAAGTTGCATATTTCAGTCAATTTTCAGCTTGATTTCACCTTGTTTATGACATTTATAGTTAATGTTATCTTCAATAAATGATTAATATATGTAATGGCATCTATATACCTTATAGTAATTGCTTTATCCCGAAGACCTTGTATGAGTTGCTCTATTATATCTTCAATGGCTGGGGGAATCTCCTGATCTTCATTGTCGTTTGAAATAGTTTTTTTAATACAAGTGATACTTTCAGTATTATCAATATCATTCGCTTTAACATTAGGTGTAATATTTATTGGTCGACTCATCTTCTGATAGCGCCAGGATGCTAATTTTGTTCTCAACAATATCAGACCTATCAAACATGTAAAAAATTTTGAACTTTTTATATTTTTCAATTTTTTTTTCAATTTACAAGAAATGGATATGTGAAATTAAACAATCTCAGAGCTTTTAATACCTATACGCTGAACAACTTTTATTCCAAATTTTCTAATGAGATCTGCTGGATTGTCACTCAGTCGAAGTTTCAATATATTATCAAGAAGCATTTGACTGTATGGTTTAACATCTTCTCTGGCACTGTGCTTTAATATTGAGGCTATTACAGCCAGAGGTCCATGTCTCAAAGGATCATCTTCTATACACTAAAAAAATGTATAAGAAATACTTAAAAAATCTACAACAAATAATAACACAGCTACTTCCAGTCACCAGAGGCGTAGTAAAACTGGAACACCCAGTATATACAGGGGGTCTCTGCATATAGTACCTGCTGAAACTGCTACGGCTGCTTCAGTCATGAAAATAAGTCGAAAATGTCTAATAAACATATATCTAATTTTGATCGGTTTCGAAGTTACGGAATATTGAAGTAAGAAAACATGAATCGTAGTAAATGTTGTTATTCTATTGTTCTGAATTTTGACTAGGTCTTTCATTCATTCCAAAAATCTAAACAAATACACTGGCAGGATGACTCTCTCTCTCTCTCTCTCTCTCTCTCTTTCTGTACAAACGTTTCTCTATAATTATCTCTATCCTCATTGGATTGGGAGAGGCCAGAATGCTTCTATTAAATAGCCAGCAAAAAGTCCCAACCTCACACTACTGAATTTTTTTTTTAATAAAAATGAAAGATCTAGTCTATCAAAATGAGAATGCAGAATTATTATGGCAAGTGAACGTTGCCCAATATCATTCACAAAACTCTAAATATTTGTCATCAAGTCCAAAACAATTTATTAAATTCGTGCTAGAAAGTGTGTCAAAGTAGAGGGAGATTTTTGAATATCTTTTGTAAAGCATTAAATAGAATAACGAACATTAAACAAAATTTACTATGATTCATGTTTTCTTACTTCAATATCCTGCAACTCCAAAACTATTTGGAATGTTTATTAGATGTTTTTGACTTGTTTTCAAATGCAGCCACTGTAGCAGTTTTGATACTATA